CCTAGATTAAAGTATATGAATCTTTGTCAAACATTTAAATATACAAACCTTAGTACTTGCATTACAAGCTATGCATTACATGCTATAAACACATGGAAAATAATAAATAAAGTAAACAGCAACATCTGGTTGGCAAGCGAGGAAATGATTAATCCAAGAAAAGGTCATAAGCATTATATGACTGTTTTCTAATATTCCTGTACCAACATAAGCATGGGTATTTAAATACAAAAATTACTTCCTCTTCATACGTGATTGCAATGAAATTTAAAAAAAAAGGTCATTTCTAGCTTGTTAGTAGATTTGACAGGTAATAAACAAAGCCTATCTTGTTACTAAGTAATTTACAAAGCAACTGTCAACAGCATCAGCATACCATCACAGCAAACTGGAAAACATACAGCACCAGAGAAGTAGAAGGTTGGCAATTAAACTGCCATGAAAACATATAGAGGACATGCGTAGCTTTGTGTTACTTCCAGTAGAGCCACAAGAATTACGTCTGGGTGCTAAGGGTAGCGTAAGCCTATGGCACACTCATAATTTTATCCTATGTCTAAACAAGGTCCCTGAAAGACTGAAATATCAAGACCTACAAAAAGCATATTTAAACTGGTCCAATTTAGCTTGAAACACACCAGTTTGGCAACACATTGTTAGAAATAAAGGTTAAATGTATGTGAACAAGGGGGCACTCTTTACAATTGGAGGAAAATAGAAATGTATTCTCCAAATATGGAAAGGTTTCTTCACAGTAAGAGCTGTGAAAACATGGAATAGACTCCCTCAAGAGTTGGTTCTGGCCAGCTCAGTGGATTGCTTTAAAAAAGGTCTGGGTTGGATTCACAGAATATAACTGGATACTAAAATTTACAGGTAAAGTTGATCCATGGAATCAGGGAATATCCAATTGCCTCTCGAGGGGATCAGGAAAGAATTTTTTTCCCTGCAGGAGCAAATTGGATCATGCTTTGCTGTTTTGTTTTGTTTTTTGCCTTCCTGTGGGTATATGATTATAACTTCCTTCTTTCCTTTTTTTTTTTTTTAAATGGTTGAACTGGATGGACTTTTGTCTTTTTTCAGACAGACTAACTATGTAACTATATAACATTCAAATAAAAGTTTTAAAATTTTAAACATGTAAATGCATGATTTTTGTTGCTGCCTGCCCTTCCCCAGTGTTGTAGAAGGGGCGGCAGCCTTTTTAATTTTTGGCTAACAGTATACCTTAAACCTTTTCACCACTGCCAGCACCTCAACACTCCTGCTCCTCAATGCTAGCAGCCAGGGGCGGACTGACCATTTGGAAACTCGGGCACTGCCCGAGGGCCCGGGGTCAGTAGGGGGCCCCATGAGATGCCCCTGGTACCTTTTTCATAGGCTTTTTTGAGTTTGGGCAAGGACACAGGGGCCCCATGATCCCCTATTGCCCGGGGGCCCCATGAGTTGTCAGTCCGCCCCTGCTAGCAGCACAACTCTCCTCCTTATGGCCAGCACCCTAACCCTTCCCTTCCTTTGGCAAGACTAGCAGATGAAGAGAAAAAGAGCAAATTATGTTTGTCCTCCAAACAAAAGTATGGTATGTACCCTTGAAGAAGAACAGAAAAAGGTTGCATTAACAGTTCTCCAAAAAAAAGCTGCAATTAGGCCATTTTATGGAGGAAGATTAGAAAGAAAATGGTGCATTAGCAGTGCTATAAAAGAATGTGTCTGCTATGCACTCATCAGGAGGAGGACATGGCACTTCAGCAGCTCTTTGAAAGAAAATAACTGTTAAGAAGAGTGTGCTGTAACCTGCTGCCAACCTCTCATTGAGATTCTGATCCCACCAAGCTCTGTGGTGCAAAGTCACATGTTTCCTAACACGTGTTATCCAAATGGCTGGTGCGTTTACCAATGCTAATATGCTGAAAACATAATGATGATGTCATCAGCAAAAAACTGTATAAACTGCAGAGCTCTTTCTATTTGCTGCTTATTCAGGAGCTTATGTACTGACCTGCCACTTTCCAATTTCTACAAAACACATACCTGAAGTCTTTTTTTTCAATGTTGTGGAAATAATTGGGGATACAGGGATATCAGGGGGTTTGGGTAATGTGGGTTGTGGTTTTGATTGAAGTATTTTTGAGTACTCTCTTTTAACATTATATTAAACTATGCAATGCAGTGTGGTACTGCAAAAATAGATGCTCACAAAGCATGTTATTAAATGGTTGTGCCACTGACTCATTTGTACAAAGTTGAGGGCTTTGTTTTTTTTAAGTACACCTTTATATAGCTTTTAGATCTGTTGTGGCTGCTACTTCCACCAATCAATTCAGGCCTATCATCACTAATGGTGAAGCCAAAACTATCTAAAAAAGACATTTTTGCTAAGTTGTAATGAGTCTGATTTGGGTGCTTCTGTTGTTTTTAAACCCAACAATGTATAAGTAAAAACAAAATCAATTACACATTTAAAATTGTGATGCCAGAATACAATGTATTTTATGCAGTATATGAGATATGTACTGTTTTCTACCATCACATACAGCTTAAAAGCATCTCCCAAGTATATAATTGAAAAGATTGTTGTTTTTCCTATGTTGCCCTCAAAGTCACCTTTAAAAGAAGACCCCTTTCCCCACTGTATGGTATTTGTAAAATATTGTTTATTGCATTGATATATATTCCCCATGACAGTTCCCTGCTCCCCATGCCTTTTGTCAGTCTCTTACCTATTAGACTTGAAGGTAGTCAAACTTGATTATCAAGGTTTGCTCCACCAAAGATATGAATGGGGTTTGTTTTATATTTGCAGTTTTCAGAATTCATGCTGGGTTCCACAAACCCCACATGAACCAATCCTAAGCACAGTTGCTAGTTCCTAATGTCTGCATAACATTCTGGAAAAGATCATTCATGGTTGGATTGTACATCCAGATACATTTTTATCTCTCTGCACCTTGAAGTTTCATTGAATATCTTAATTGAAATACTTAGTTTACATGTAATAATAAAGGAATTAATTGATACATGCAACGCTTTAAAAATATAACAAAAGCTTTCATTATTTAGGACAGTGTTTTTAAGCCATTTAAGGCCCAACTGAAGACTTTGCTGTTTTTGTTGGAGATAGGTTATAAAGTGTGTAAAATTTTTATTGCTATCTTAGTTACCGTAGATTTCACCTCACTTGCTGTCCTGGTGACCACACAGGAGTTAGGAGATGTCTTCAAAGGGGACAGATAGAGCAATACAAATCAACAAAAACTTGACAGGGATTCCTAGTCTATTCCACTCTCCTACTACTACTATTGCTACTAAAAATAAAATGTAAAAATTGTGACACAATATAGCAATAAAAAAGGCACGGAGAACATAAAATGTGCATTATATCAAATAAGCACTACTGTGAAAACCAAAGTCACCAAGTATATGACAACTAAAGATTAGTCCATCAGGCCACAGGTCTAAAAAAACCTAAAAAATTTCAGTCTTTCCACTGAATAAAAAGTTCTCCAGTACTCAAATAAAGATTAGTCCATCCTGCAACAGTTAAACTTCTCAAAATAGTTCAATCTCTCCACCATGAATAGAAAGTGCTCAAACACATCTCCCCAGATGACTAGGACTCACCAGGGTCTATATGTACGCCCTCCTCCTTTCCTGGCCTGCCAAACTTCATGTTCAAATAAGGCTCTACTTGCTAGGGAGACCCGGCACTTTTTTTCTTGTTTTTTTGCATGGGGTTTCCCTTGACATCTATACCATATCCTTATGAATGATAAAGGTCTAGGTTGTTTTTTTACAGGGGGCCCTATGCAGTTTTTTTTATATGAGACCCTCATCTAGGTAAATCCCCAAGGGAACCCCCAGCCTTCTGTTCACAAATACAAATAAAGCGTCTGAAGCTGTTATTTGCCAACAATTTAAATTGCATTTTTTTTCTTTGTATAGTATATGCCAGTTTTGCTGTAGTAGGTTGTGTACAAATGTGCCACTTTACAGAAAGGTTAAACGTACCCGCAAGCTTGTACTGTAAACACATTTTCTATTTTTAATGTTAACCTTAAATCTTTATTAAAATCACTGCTCCCCACCAAACAGAATTTTTTTTAAATGTTTGCTTTGCTACATGTTCTTCAGGACATTGTTCAGCCCCATGCCATTTAGCGTGGAAAATGGCCATTACTGTTTTGAACATTCTGTTCCTATTGACTTTAGTGGGGTGTGGATTGAGCACTTGAATGTAGTCATGTTCTGCGAGCCCACCTTGAATTGAATCCAGGTACATTCAGCTCATCCCTAGTAGCAGGTGAGGGAAGAAGTGAAGGTATTATACTAGAACAGAGATTAATTAGACACTCCCGGAAGAGGAAAGGGCTATGATATGCAAGGAGGGAGGAGAAGGCTGTGCTGGGGAATTGACTCTACCTGTAAAGCCAAATTTGAAAATAGTTCAAAGGTGAGTTGCAAGTACATTGCAAGTGAATAAACAATTGTTTATGGAATGGTACACAGTTCTCTAAAATAGAGAAGTACTTCTTTAACCACTTGCCTGTAGGGCACTTATACCCCCTTCCTGCCCAGGCCAATTCTCAGCTTTCAGCGCTGTCGCATTTTGAATGATAATTGTGCGGTCATACAACACTGTAACCACCTTAAACTTTTAGATTTTTTTTTCACACAAATAGAGCTTTCTTTTGGTGGTATTTACTGTAATCACCACTGGGTGTTTTATTTTTTGTGAAATAAACAAAAAAAGAGCAAAAATTGTGAAAAAAAAAGTTTTTCTTTGTTTCTGTTATAAAATTTTGCAAACAGGTAACTTTTCTCCTTCACTGATGTGCGTTGATGAGGCTGCACTGATAGGCAGCACTGATGGGCACTGATGAGGTGGCATAGATAGGCAGCACTGATGGGTACTGAGAGGAGGCACTGATAGGAGGCACTGATAGGTGGCACTGTTGAGCTGGCACTTATGATGCTGCACTGATAGGAGGCACTGATGGGCAGCACTGATGGGTGACACTGATGGGCACTGATGGGCGGCACTGCTGGGCACAGGTGGTTGGCACTGCTAGGCACTGCTGAGAACAGGTTGGTGGCACTGCTTGGCACAGGTGGTTGGCAATGATGGGTACAGGTGGGTGGCACTTCAGGGCACAGGTGGGTAGCACTGATGGGCACAAGTGGGTGGCACTGATGGCTACAGGTGGGTGGCACTGATGGGTACAGGTGTGCAGCACTGCTGGGTACAGGTGGGTGGCACAGGTGGGCAGTACTTCTGGGCACTGATCATCAGTGATCACTTCTCTGACAATTGTCTGTTATCGGCAGTACTTTCCTCATGCTGTTACAGCGTGAGGAATGTGCAGCCTTTAACCGCAACTATATTTACCCGGTGATCTGGTGTCATTGGACACAGCCAATCACGTGGTAAAAGGGCGCTGTGATTGGCCATTTACCGTATCACTAGATCAGCTGTGTCCATAGGGGTCAGGGGGCGTGTTCTGTAATGACGTCCATGGATGTCATCCCTGAACTAGACAACTGCGCTGTAGCCGTCTTTTAGATATAGCGCAGTAGGGAAGAAGTTAAACCTCTGATTCTATGTTGGTAAAACGAAGTAGCTGGGGATGAATACAAGATGCAGCTTGACTGATGCATTGCAAATCAGAGAGCATATTTCTTTCAGATGGCTCAAAGGTTGGATTAGATTCCTATTTTGGTCATCTTTGAACTTTAAAGATGAATGAATGTGTGCCATGATTTGCTATACAAAATGGTTACTATTGAAATGGCTATTTTTGATGAATCAATCTCATCCTATTTGCTCTCAACTGGATGTTATTACAACTATAAATGTGCAGACAATTACAAGCATTCTTCCTATATAGAGCATCGCTTAACCATTTCTGACATTCTAGGTGATGATAATAAGCATCCTGTCAGCATTATATGACAAGGAAATGTTTCAACAGACTGCTGTTTTCCTCTTCCTAAGATCCACATGTGTTTCAGTGTCACTATTGGGAACGTACTGCAGTAGAGCTGTGTGCTCAAATGACTAGTTTTAGGGTAGATGTTTATCTCCCCACCCGTTTTCCTTGGTGAGATATCTGCCCCACTATGTCCGAACTTACTGAATTCTCTGAAGCTAAGGGGGCAAACAGAGAATCCCATGGCTTCCCCTGATGTTCTGGTTTTAAACTGTTGCACATTTTATAATTAGGGGATAGCAAACCTGCCATTGGGAAGCTGGGAACCACCATGTGCTCAGCTTCCCAATGTACCAATGCAAAAAAACATACAACACAACAGGGAAAGAGTCATTTCATGAGGCTTCAAGAGCTACTTGAAAATACATAAATCCTTTAAATATCATCCTTGGGGCATGCCTTGAAGCGGTATTGTTCCATTGTCACGGACTTGTTTGATTTTCACAGCAACAACATATTCTAGTAGTGCATATTTAGTAGAGGAATTGATTATTGCTTAATGCAGCACCATCATCCAAATCTGATTAAATTCAGTTTAAACAAAGACACTTTTTGTCAGGTAGTTTTAGCAGCAACACATGCTTCTTTATCAAGTGGTAATAGGCCCACTTTGGCCAGCAGGCCTATTAGTCAGTAGTTTGCTGCGGCTGTCCCTGTTCTTGCAGATACATAACTAGGCTGCTGCTGGTCTTTTTTTTTTCTTTGTTATCAAACTCCCATTAACAAATAAGAAACCACAGACGATGCAGCACTGTAAGGTTGGCCAACAGCAGGACATTTCTAATGAAGGAGAATTGGCTGACTTGTTATAAAAGTAGAGAATATGGAGGTTGTTTCCTACAAAAATAAAGACACTGCAAATGGTGCAACAGTGTAAAATTGGCCAGCAGCAGGACAATTTTAATGAACAAGGCAATGTTCACATTTATTAAAAACAAACAGCACAGATAAGCATTTTACTACAAGAATTAAGATACTGCAGAGAATACAGTAGTGCAACATTGGCCAGGTATAATTGGCCAGGGATAATAGTCTGAAATATTAGAAAAAAAAATAATAAAGGTGAGAATTTAGAGGCTGCAGATGATACAGTAACATAAAATTGGCCAGGAGCATTACAATTTTAATGGGCAAGGCTAATCCCAAATGTAGTAAAGACAAAGAGCTCAATTAGGATTTCACTTCATGCTTTAGACTATCACAGAGGGTACAATGATGTAAAATTGACTAGAAACAGAACAGTTTTAGGGCTCATGTACACTGAGGCTGATAAACTCACGTTTAGGAGCTGTTCAGCATTTTTTTTCAGCAGCTCCTGAACTCTCCCTAATGTTTTCCTATGTGTCCATGTACACATCTTCGTTTACAGTCGTTTGCAGGCATTTGAGTTTACAGTCATCTTATTGAATGCAGAAAACTTGCACTCAGCAGTCGATTTTATCAACGCTTCAAACGCATAATGCTTGTAAATGCGGCTAAACGCGGCAAATCGCATTTATAAGCGTTTGCGGTTGAAAATATTTTTAACTCTTCCAGTTCCCGATGCTGTCCAGAGCCTTTTTTCATCATGAAAAATGCATAAAAAGCGTTTTCCCAGTACTCAAATGGACCTGGTACACCATACTTGATGTTTCGCATTAAATAAAATATGTTAGACATTGCTGCAATAATTTCTGTACATAAATGATCTGGAACACATCAAAACACCACAAAAAAAAAAAAAGACAGCTAATCTCAACAAATACTGCTCTCTCTGCTTCTGTTCTCTCTATTTCTCTCAACATGTCTGAAATTGTTAATTACTGTTTTTCAGTGCATTTTGGGCATTTTGGAAGGTCTCTGAGGTTATCTTAAAAAAACCTTCTAAACGCAAATGCTCATAATTGCGCATAAATGCAGTATGCAAACACAGCTAAACAGACTTTTTTTATCTATGTTTTCCAGCAGTCAGTTTCCATCGTTCAGAAGTGTCCCGTGTACATGGAGCCTTAATCAGGCAAAACAGACCTAACCAGCATATGCCTAACTTTTTTTTGCACTATGATAAGTGGGGGAGGTGTGAATGTTACTGATGTTATTTAGGTACATACTGTTCTTGCACTATTTTTTTCTTCAATGAAGAAACAAAAAGCACCTTCAAGAACAAATCTTTAACCTATCCAAAACTAAAAAAAAGGTTTTTGATTAAGATATACTTTGACAAGTCATGACCAGGGGCGGACTGACAACTCATGGGGCCCCTCAGGCAATAGGGGATCATGGGGCCCCTGTGTCCTTGCCCACACTCAAAAAAGCCTATGAAAAAGGTACCAGGGCCATCTCATGCTCGAGTTTCCAAATGGTCAGCCTGCCCCTGGTCATGACTAGCTTAGTAAATACATTTTTTGTACTAAACATTCCTGTCATTTTTCACAAATAATGCATTTCTCAAAACTGTTGATTTCAGTCTAGAGTTTTAAAACACCCACTCGTCGTGATGATGAATGGCATGGTAGATACATAAAATACAATAAGTACTATACTAAGACAAATGTCTACATCTTGCAGCATCTGGAATTATGTATTGCTTTGACAGTTGTTGGGAACATCCATAAACTCTCCATCCTCTCCTACTAATGCTGAGTTTGCTAGGTGTGATGGGATATGGATAATGCCAAATATAGAAATTAGAAGTTTGCATGCATTCACAATATTTAACTTCTAATTTCAGAGTGGTTGCAATAAAAAAAAAAACTTTAGTTACGGTTTAATTGAATATTAAACCCTCAGATTTTAAGTACTTTCAGCAGCTGATTTAATCACTTACTGAGTATGCAACTTCTTTATCTTTTAATCCTTGTCTATGGTCTACTTTAGGCTGATGTCATAATCGCTACCCCAGATTTCTGGTTTCAGGGTGGCTTCTACCTATGGAGCCACCCTTGCACGCAGAGTCTACTGTTGTGTTTCGATACACTATGTGCATTATTAGAAACACACAGCCCTGTAGTCTAGGATAGCAAGGCCCTCCCCTGCTCCTCCCCCTTACTTCTCAAAGCTAACAGACTGGCTCAACTGCACTGGCCACTGTTACCTCTTTCCTGAAAGAAAGGAAGTTCAAGGAAGCTGCAATATGGGAGTAGGAGCCAGCAGCATTGAAAGCTGTAACTGCAAGTGCAGTGATGAGAATTTTATCAAATAGTTTACTAGTGAGTATTTATTTTATTAGGCTCAATATGTTAAGCTGAAAAATGCTGGGGGTTTATCACTACTGTAATAATATAGATCATGTTTTAGACAGCTTTTAAGTGTGCAGTGCATTTACTCTGCTACAGACTCACATGAGATTGAAAGAAAAGAAAAAAAAATAATTGTGTTATTTACATGAAATCCAAAAGAATCTTAAATCATTTTTTAGGACTATTGAATAACCAGAAGAGTACATACACATATAATGTAAAGGTGTATGTTTTCAGTTAACCAACAATAATTCAATTATTATTTGGGTTCTCCCTTTTTCATACAGTTCCAATATGTTTTTTATACAATGATAGTAAAATACAGTCACGCTCTATGCGATTTGTGGAAATGTGTGTTTATATAGCCCTCAAATAAATTATATTTGTTGTTTATTAGATTGTTAAAACTGAGCTCCAGAAAATAGCTAAATACATATGGGATCTGCTTTACCTGCCAAAGTGTCTTCTGTCTACCCAGTTCTGAGATACATTGCTACAATACAGCACAGTACTATCTATCAGGGCAGAAGACATGATCTTTCTCTGCTGCAGTTTGCTAATACTGTACTTACAGGCAGGGGCGGACTGACAAATCATGGGGCCCCCGGGCAATAGGGGATCATGGGGCCTCTTTGTCCTCACCAATACCCAAAAAAGCCTATGAAAAAAGCCAACAAAAGGTACCAGGGGCATCTCATGGGGCCCCCTACTGACCTGCAGTCCCCGAGTGCTCAAATGGTCAGTCCGCCCCTGCTTACAGGTCTCCTCCCCACCTCTTGCCTGTGTCGAACAGTGAAGAAAGAAGCAGAAGACTAATTATCTGTCACTTTGCTCTCTCCTCCTATCAGTTTGCACCTTGCACTGCAGCATAACAGATTGGTTCTTTGTGCTACTTCTCCCTCCCCTAGTCTGAGCACTGCTGTAAAGTGGGCTGTAAAAGGCTGAGGCCAAATTCAGCTACTTACACTGCTTGCACCAAAATACATTCAAAGATGTGTTCAAGAATACAGAATTGCATTAATGTGCCTTTCATACCTGCTTGGAGTGCACCTTTAAGTACTGCTGACTTTTTTTTACATATGGTACATACTTACAACAGTATTAAACCCAAGAGCAAACATTTATTATATTTCAGCTTATCGATTCTTAGATGTAATGGCTGTATTCGTTTTCTTTATTAGGCTTACTTTCTTTTTTTCACCTGGTGAACCTGCCAATATGTCTGTTCTTTCTCAACAGAACAAGCTGTCCTGAAAATGTAGCAGGTAAAGGGTTGAGACAAACCATTTAACACTTAGAGGGGCACTTACAATGATTAGTTTTTATTTATTTATGTATTTATGTAAAACCTTTATGCCAAAAGGAACAAACTGCTTCTGTAACTGCATATATAGTGTGAGCTGGAGTTTGGCTTCAATTTGTTTAGTTTATTTAAATGTGCTAGTGCATCTAACAGTCCCCTCCCCCTCAGACTGACAGTGCTGTTGACCAAAGATGTTTCTGTTGCTCCCTCATCCAGAGTGGAGGCACTCTAATACAGGAGGCGTGTTATTGGCTTGATCACCAGGTGAAAAGAGAAGAAAACGAATGCTACCACCGCATCTAATGATTGGTATGTTGAAAAATGTTACAATTTTTAGTTTTGGGTTTAATATCGTATTAAGATCATCAGCTGGTCAAAAAAGCTAAGTTGCACAGTTGACTTCACCTGCCCATATGCCAGGGAGTTTTTTTGTCAGAGGATGGGTGCAGGAACTCCCCCCTTCCCAGTCATCCCCTTTTCTCCACCCCCTACCCACCTACAAGCACCATCCTTTGGTTCCACCACCAACCCACCTACCAGGATTACCCCTTTGATTATACTGAATACAGAACCAAGTGTCATTTTGTGGAATTTGCTAATGTTAACATAAAAAGCAGTAAAATAGATCCCCTGCTGCCAGCAACAGAAGCAACCCCCAGCAACAAAAGACCCCGGCTAGCAACAATAGATATCCCAGCAGCCAGCAACAACAAACCCCTCCCTAGCAGTAGATCCCTCTCAGCAACAATTGACCCATCAGCATCAATAGACCCCTTCCTCATCAAGAGATATTCCACTACCCAAGAACAATAGATGCCCTAGCAGCCAGCAACAACAGACCCCTCCCTTAACAGTAGATCCCTCCAAGCAGCAATTGACCCATCCGCATCAATAGACCCCTTCCTCATAAAGAGATTCCCCACCACCCAAGAACAATAGATGTCCCAGCAGCCAGCAACAACCGACTCCTCCCTTAACAGTAGATCCCTCCAAGCAGCAATTGACCCATCAGCATCAATAGACCCCTTCCTCATCAAGAGATTCCCCACCACCCAAGAACAATGGATGCCCAAGCAGCCAAATACAACAGAGCCCTCTCTTAACAGTAGATCCCTCCAAGCAGCAATTGACCCATCAGCATCATAGACCCCTTCCTCATCAAGAGATTCTCCACCACCCAAGAACAATAGATGCCCTAGCAGCCAGATACAACAGACCTCTCCCTTAACAGTAGATCCCTCCAAGCAGCAATTGACCCATCAGCATCAATAGACCCCTTCCTCATCAAGAGATTCCCCACCACCCAAGAACAAAAGATGCCTTATCATCCAGCAACAACAGACCCCTCCCTTAACAGTAGATCCCTCCAAGCAGCAATTGACCTATCAACATAAATAGACCCCTTCCTCATCAAGAGATTCCCCAAGACCCAAGAACAATAGATGCCTTAGCAGCCAGCAACAACAGACTCCTCCCTTAACAGTAGATCCCGACGAGCAGCAGTTGACCCATCAGCATCAATAGACCCCTTCCTTATCAAGAGATTCCTCACCACCCAAGAACAATAGATGCCCAAGCGGCCAGATACAACAGAGCCCTCTCATAACAGTAGATCCCTCCAAGCAGCAATTGACCCATCAGCATCAATAGACCCCTTCCTCATCAAGAGATTCCCCACCACCCAAGAACAAAAGATGCCCTATCATCCAGCAACAACAGACCCCTCCCTTAACAGTAGATCCCTCCAAGCAGCAATTGACCTATCAGCATCAATAGGCCCCTTCCTCATCAAGAGATTCCCCACCACCCAAGAACAATAGATGCCCTAGCAGCCAGCAAACAACAGACCACTCCCTTAACAGTAGATCCCTACTAGCAGCAGTTGACCCATCAGCATCAATAGACCCCTTCCTCATCAAGGGATTCCCCACCACCCAAGAACAATAGATGTTCCAACAGCCATCAACAACAGACCCCTCCCTTAACAGTAGATTCCTCCAAGCGGCAATTGGCTCATCAGCAATGATAGACCCCTTTCATCATCAAGAGATTCCCCACCACCCAAGAACAATAGATGCCCTAGCATCAATAGACCCTCCTGCACACCCCAGCACCTCTTGCCATTTCATATTGCAATACTGGATGTGCAGGAACAGCGTTCCCCTGCGTTTCTGCTGAAAAAAAAACCTGCCATGTGCATATCAGCAAGTGCACATATATCATCACCTGAGCATGATTGTGTGATCTTGCCAATGAGGCAGAGGGAACAGTATTTACCTTTAGTAAATCAGTCCCATAAGCTTTCAAGAGTAACGTAAAGAAATTGAACACTTCTTTCGTTTTTGTTCTGCAAAGATTGATTGCTAATTGCATAAACATTGCTCCTGTGCTTTGGTACTACAGAAATTTAGTGTGCAGATCTAGGTGCTATTTCACAGTAGTCTGTATTTTGTTACCAAGGTTCTAAGGCAGACTGTCATTGCCACAGCAACTAGCTTCTGGGAACAATGCCAATTTTTTTCCACTTGTAATAAAATTGATACCGAGCATTGAATAGCCTGTGCAAACCATTTATTGTGTTACACTTTAGTATAACACGGATAGGGGTTAATTAAAAAAACCCTGTAAAGCATCACAAAGAAGATTAGCTGATATCAAATGTTTCTTTGTCTAGTGCCCCTCATGTGTGTCTGCGTTGCAACCTTTCCATACCCCAAAAAATGTGAAAGATCAGCATAGTAATTGTGTAATATACTCTGTGAGCAATTTATTACTGTCTCACCAGAATCTCTATGCGTACATACTGTGTTTATACTGATATTTGCTCAAAATATTTTTATTTGGATTTATTTTATTTAAAGGTGAAAATAAGGCATTGAAATGCATATATAGAAAATGGTTAATACTTCAAGACAGTTGTTAAGGAGGCAGTTACTCTTTAATAAGATTCTCTTTTCATTGGTCTGGATTGTAATGTATGGATTTAGTGATTTATGTTTAATTTGACCATATCAGTTCTGCAATAAAAGGGGTATTATGCTCCCCTACCCAGCAGCCCATGTCTCCTAGAATTCAGTACTTATGGGAGTGTCAGCTAGCTGTCCCTCCATATCTCCATGCACTGTAGTTCCATCCTCTGGCCCCTCCATCATTGCAGAAAACAAAGTGGCACAGGGGTAATAGGATGGCGCACATGGCAAGGGACACAGGCATCCAATGCTTACATACAGTACATGTCAAATGCTGAAGAGTATAGAGCAGGGCGGCCCTCCAGTGGTTGCGAAACTCCAAGTCCCATCATGCCTCTATCTTTGGAAGTCATGCTTGTAACTGTCAATCTTGCAATGCCTCATGGGATTTGTAGTTTCGCAACAGCTGGAGGACCACCAGTTTGACACCTGTGGTCTAGAGGCTGCAGTACTGGAACAGGGCGAGCTACTGGAGAAGTGACCATTATAGTTACATAGTTACATAGTTAGTCTGGCTGAAAAAAGACTAAAGTCCATCCTGTTCAACCAAAAACAAAGAAGTTGTGATCCTGTACCCAAAATTGCTCAAGCAAAACGAAAAAAAAAAAAAACCCAGCAAAGCATAATCCAATTTACTCCTGAAGGAATAACAATTCTTTCCTGATCTCAAGAGGCAATTAAATATTCCCTGGATCAACTTTACCTATAAATGTTAGCATCCAGTTATATTTATGTGTATACCTCTTCTGTTGCAGGTGTAGAACACAGACCCCTGATGGGCCCGGCTATTTGTCCCAGGTTCTATTCCCTAGTGGGTACAATCAGCCAGGCACACGGTAGCTTCCCAGTCTCTCCTCACAAGATCCAGGCAGAAAGCATCCTTTTTAGGTTTATTGCTTGAAAAACTTGGATAGGGTATAGGGTGAGCATTGGGATGGTCCAAATTTAGTGCAAGCTGAAACAGAGTACACTTTTCGATAGTAGCCAAACTCTTTAGGATAAATCGCTTGTGTAAGAGATAGTGCACATACAGCTCAGGGGACTCCCAATCTGGAAGCAGCCCTGAGCTGGTAACTTTGGATCAGTCTCTACAATTTTTAGTGCATGAAGTAGTAGAGAACAAGATTTGCCTTTTCCTCTACTCATTAGGGTAGCTCTCCTCTTGCTTAAGAATAGCAGATCTGCAAGTCAGGAACTTTAGACACAAGCACATTCCCAAATCAGCTACTCTGGTGCAAACGCATAAAGCAGCAACAGTCACTAGGATCTCTCTCTCTCAGGCATTTATTCACTGTGTCACTGTGTACTTGGTTGCCACTTTCTAATACCAGCCAGACACTATATCGTGAGCCTCTAGGCTACATCCTCAGTCAACTCCCCTTGAGTTAATTCCAGCTCCTTTCCAAAATCAGGTCCCCATTACTCCGTGAGCTGTGATCTCAATGCGTCTCCTGTAGTATTCAGCTAAACAGCCCAGGAGCACAAACAGTCCCCCCTGGCTGGGTCTCTTTCCACCAGGGCAAAGGACCCTGCTGTTCTAGGTCCCCAACTATTTATGCACATCTCAGCCACCTGCTGGCCACTCTCTTGACCAGGGGTTGCCTGAGGCTGCAAGAATATTCAGCCCAAGGTCTGCCTCTTCCAGCCCACTATGTTTCCCAAACTTACCAGAACTCAGGGGGAAGTAGTTAAGCCTGTAACCAGCAGAACCCAGAACAGCAAAAGCAATCACATTTGCTGCAAACTGGCTACAGAGGAACAAAAAAAACTAAATTTACCTAGACCTATAAGCAGCCTAACTAAGAGGGTGCTACATAGGTAACTTTCTTTGCACATTAAAATATTTATATATGTATACACATTTTAAGCACACACTCACCTCTGTAGCTAAAGGCATTGTGGAAAAAATCTTCAAAACAAACATGAGAATCACCACAGTTACTTTTGTTTATTTTAGGAAAACATTAAAAAAAAACATTATCATGAATTAGTTATAGATAGTATACCCTTTACTGAACATGCAGTATATACAAAGACCTGTGCATGAATTCAAGCAGAATCATTATAGATACCATCTGTTTGATATAAAGGGTACAAGGATAAGAACACGCTTTTTTCATCCTTTGTAAAATAGCCTTTGGTAATTATTTGTTTTTAGCTCTCTGCAAGACTATTGTTATGTTATTCAAAGTATTCATTATTCAGCATCATTACAGAGGGAATCTCGCAGCCACATGAGTACATATACAGGGGTCTATTAGAATAGCAGTTGGTCTTGTATTTACTGTTGTTCATTCTATGGTAAAACTTACCATTCCTCATAAGTATTCTTTGCCTCATTACCTACTGAGATCTTTGGCAGAGATATCCAGAGAAAACATATCATTCAACTATAAATATCCTATAATAATATATATTTATCTATGTCTGTTTTTCATCTTTTCTTTTTTGAAAGCAGAGAAAAAAATAATAATCTTTCACAAAGGTTTTGTGCTAACGGCTCAAACAAGAGACTTTTATAATAGTCTGCACTAACTACAGCATATAATGCAGTTTAAACCAAAATAATAAGGCTGGGCTCCATGTCAAGCCACGTCACACATTGCAGATTCATGTACATGGTGAGCTAATGTGGCCATTCACCTCAATAGCAACCAGCTACCGATAATGCACTCCCTAGCCTTTGAAGTTAGGTAAGGTGGCTTAACCACTTCAAGTCTGGACACTTTCACCCCCTTCCAGTCCAGGCCCATTTTCAGCGCTGTCACATTTTGAATGACAATTGCGCGGTCATACAACACTATCCAAATTCAATTTTTTGTATTTTTTTAAGACTTTCTTTTGGTGATATTTATTCACCACTGGGATTTTTATTTTTTGCTATACTGTATAAAATGAAATAGACCAAACATTTTTAACCTCCTCCCGCCCGCCATATAGTAATATGATGGACGCAAGGTGGTTCTCTGGTTCTGGGAGGACGTTATATGACGTCCTCCCATTCTCACCGCGCATGCACGGCTGAGAGAGCGCGCGGCGATCGGCGGTGCGCTGAATCCCTCGAATACAGCGGATCACCGATCACGGAAAGAGCCAAAGATGTCGGCTCGGTCATGTGATCAGCTGTGTCCAATCACAGCCGATCACATTAAACAGGGAAATGCCGAATATCGACATTTCTCTCCTCTCAAGCTGTCACGCTGACAGCTCAAGAGGAGAGCCGGTAATTGGCTTTCCGCGGAGGGGACATGTACACTGATCATCAGGGCACTGATGATCAGTGTGCCCTGATGATCAGTGTAGCCCCAGCAGTGCCACCTGTCAGTGTCTATCAGTGCCTTGTGTCAGTGCTCATCAGTGCCTCGTGCCAGTGCCCATCAGTGCCACATCAATGCCACATATCAGTGCCTACCAGTGCACATCAATGCCACATATCAGTGCCCATCTGAGCTGCCTTTCAGTGTCACCCATCAGTGCCAGTCAGTGCCACCTATCAATGCCAATCAGTGCCACCTATCAGTGCTGCCAATCAGTGCCACCTATCAGTTCCAGTCAGTGTCGCCTATCAGTGCCAGTCAGTGCTGCCTATCAGTTCGCATCAGTGCCACCGATCAGTGCCAGTCAGTGCTGCCTAACAGTGCCAGTCAGTGCTGCCTATCAGTGCCAGTCAGTGCCGCCTATCAGTGCCAGTCAGTCCCGCTTATCAGTGCTGCCTATCAGTGCCGCCTATCAGTGCTGCCTATCAGTGCCATATATCAGTGCCATGTATCAGTGCTGCCTTTTCAGTGCCCATCAGTGATGCCTATCAATGCCCATCAGTGCCACCTACCAGTGCCTCCTCATCAGTGCCCATCAGTGCCACCTATCCGTGTCCATCAGTGCAGCCTATCAGTGCCCATCACTGCAGCCTCATTAGGGCATATCAGTGAAGGAGAAAAATCACTTATTTACAAAATTTTATAACACAAACGAAGAAAATACTTTTTTTTTTCAAAATTTTCAGTGGTTTTTGGTTTGTTTAAGAAAAAATAAAAACCCAGAGGTGATTAAATACCACCAAAATAAAGCTCTATCTGTCACAAAAAAATGATAAAAATGTCATATGGGTACAATGTTGCATGGCCGCGCAATTTTCATTCAAAGTGCGACAGCGCTGAAAGCTAGCTGGAAATTGGCCTGGGCAGGAAGGGGGTATAAGTGCCCTGTAGGCTAGCGGTTAAAAAAGTGTTTTTCTTATAAAATTTTGCAAATAAATATTCTTTCTTCATAAATCTTGGCCAAAATTTATTCACTTATCTTTTTGGTAAACAAAAAATAACCCAAATCAGTTTATAAAAAAAAATTATAATTTTTCAAATTTTTTTTATTTTATTTTTTTAATATTATTATTTATGTATTTGTTTACATACTATCACCCCAGCCGTACAGTGTCACTATAGTGACACTGTAATGCTTGTAAGGGGTGATCAGGGGTGGACTGACCATTGGGGAACTCGGGCACTGCCCGAGGGCCCGGGGTCAGTAGGGGGCCCCATGAGATACTCCTGGTACCTTTCATAGGCTTTTTTGGGTGTGGTTTGAGCATGGGCAAGGACACAGGGACCCCATGATCCCCTATTGCCCAGGGGCCCCATGAGTTGTCAGTCCGCCCCTGGGGGTGATGAAGAAGATTTTTTTTTTTTTTTTTTACACCCATACCCATAAAGGCTGTAAAAGCAATAATTTCTCCTTCTCTCTGGATGCATTCCTGCAGCCATTGAGAAATACTATGAGAGATGTGATTGGTCACAGCTTGTCACATGGTACAAGGTTGTTGTGAATAGCCTTGTACCATGTGACCTCTGTGATCATTCACAGATTTCACAAGGAGTAAACAATGATGTCAGGAAGTGACATCTTGCTTACTACTATTCATGTGATCACTGATTGGCCAATCAGTGATCACATAAATTAGGACCTCACACAGCGGTCCCATTTAGAAACATCCCCCCGCATCAGCAGAACACGCCGTTGGCACGTTTATCGACATGGGCCAGACAGAAAGAGGCTAAGCCTCATAGACACAATGATAATATTGGACAAATAATCATCCATTTTTTTTTTTTTTTTTTGCATGCTAGTCTCATATCGAAAGTGAAGAGGTTACTAAAGTTATGAAAATTCTTTACAACAAAATAAAAATTCAAAAGTGATGTTATGTATTTGTATTGTATTTTCAGACAAAAACTGTGCTGATTAAATGAAAATCATACAATCTGGTATTGTACAAGAAAAATGTTTGTGCTCATCCCTTCAAATAATTTCGGATGAAAGCTGTATACTAACGATCAGATTATAGTACGATCATTTCGAAAGCAATACTTTTCATCTGATTTTCTGTTTGTGTGTACTAGCCTTTAGAATGGCCAATAATGGGGACTTTGTCATGTGCCAGCCCCTGGCTATAAATAGCAGGGTTTCCCAGCAGTCTTAATGACAATGTAGTTAGCTGTGATAGGGAAAGCACAGGGAGTGCTACTGATAAAGTGCATGGTCTCTCTAAAGTAAATGTAAACCCTTACTGAATGTTCTTTAGATAGCAAAATGTGTATCTTGGGGTATTTGGGGGAGGGGGTGGGAGTAAGGAACAATTTTGTAGCATTGCTGATGTGTGTCCTGAAGCTTTTTAACAGCCTCGCCACATGTACTGTCTACAGTTAAGATAGGCTGAATGTGTGTCTTTAAAAATGCATATGCATTTTAGTTTTGTTACAAAATTATTTTTTATGAAAAAATAAATTTTCAGGACGCATACAAATCACTGAATGGACATAGTAGTTAATGTCACTGAATCTGAAAAAGTCATAACGAAATTAATGAATACATTTGTTTCATTTGTTTTAAATGGATGACATCACACGATGTAATAGTAGTTCGGGCCTGTGGAAAAACAAATTCAAATTTCAAATTTGGTTGATAATTCGGATTTGAGTAAATTTGTGATTTAAATTGAATTTGTAATTGTTACAGTCATGCAGTTCAGTTCCACACGCTAATGCAATTCTTAGGTTTGAAATTTTTGGGGAACGCCAAATTCTTTTCCGTTGCATCCGATATATATTAAATCCTTCTGAATAGTTTTGATAGATGAAAAACAAATCCACACAAAATATCAAAACCGAAAACTAATATATAGCAATCTTCCTAAAAAAAACTGCAACATTTTTCGAAATCAACCCAAACGAATGCCAATGATACGAAAAGGAATTCCCAAAACAAATTGATTAAACATAACAAATATGACGAAATAAAATTCCTCAATGAACAAATGCATTTGAAACTAAATAAAAATTTCCACCGTGCACATGTCTAGCGCATATTGCCTAATTTATTGCCTAATTTTTTTTTCCTCTTAGCCTGTCTGTGTCCACAAATTACATAGTTACATAGTTGTCTGGCTGAAAAAAGACAAAAGTCCATCCAGTTCAACCATAGAGAAAATAAAAGTTATAATCCTATACCCACAGTTGATCCAGAGGAAGGCAAAAAAAAACAAGCAAAGCACGATCCAATTTGCTCCTGCTGGGAAAAAAATTCCTCCCTGATCCCCCGAGAGGCAATCGGATATTCCTTGGATCAACTTTACCTGTAAATGTTAGTATCCAGTTATATTCTGTGTATCTAAGAAAGAATCCAGGCCTTTTTTGAAGCAATCCACTGAGCTGGCCAGAACCAACTCTCGAGGGAGTCTATTCCACATTTTCACAGCTCTCACTGTGAAGAAACCTTTCTGTGTTTGGAGATTAAATTTCTTTTCCTCCAGACGTAAAGGGTGCCCCTGTGTTCTCTCCGTGATGACCTCAGGGTGAATAACTCTACACCGAGTACACTATATGAACCACTGATGTATTTATACATGTTGATCATATCCCCCCTTAATCTCCTCTTCTCAAGAGAGAATACATTCAGTTCCTCTAATCTTTCCTCATAGCTGATCTTCTCCATGCCTTGTATCAGTTTAGTTGGCTTCTCTGTACTTTCTCCAGTTCCCCAATGTTCTTTTTGTGAATTGGTGCCCAAAGCTGAACTGCATATTCCAGATGAGGTGTTACTAATGATTTGTACAGGGGTAAAATGATATCTCTCTCTCTCTGGAGTCTATACCTCTTTTAATACAAGAGAGGATTTTGCTCGCTTTAGAAACTGCAGCTTGGCATTGCATGCCATTATTAAGCTTGTGATCTACCAGAACTCCCAGATCCTTCTCCACCATTGATTCCCCCAGTTGTACTCCACCTAGTATGTATGATGCATACAAATGCTGCAGTCATTGTAGGCTGCTTTTTTCACAGGGAAAAATTCCAATTTTTTAAGGGCTGCAATTCTTTTTTTTACACAATGCAATAACCCACTGATAACATGCTGCATGTGTATTTTCATGGACATATTTCTTAATTGTTACTGAAAGGTCTTTTTTTGTAAACCGCATGTCTTTTTCCTGGGCAATATGCATCGGCAAGAGAAATTTGCAGGGAGGAGATTGTTGGAGACGGGCAGAGCACTGTCACCCCATTACACATCGTGCCCAAACAAGAACCTTAATAAGAGAATTACCAGCTGTTAAAGCCTATATGACATTCAGTGGTTGGACTAAGATTTATTTTAACAAACTATGATTGTGGCACAGGACTGCCCCCTCTAATTTGTTTCACCTAAACTGGCATTAATTGTATAATATCTATGATTTAGCCTGATTGGATAAAATGCATTAGAGAGGACAGTCCTACTGCATGGTCTGCCAGTTCTGCGATTGTGATTGCTTCATGAAATAAACTTGGATTGCCATCTGTGTGCTGCGGTCTTTCATTCCATCATAACAATACAGTAATACTTTCTTTTTTTTTTTTAGGTTTTTTTTTTTTGCTTCATCTTTAAATTTTGAGTTTTTTCATTATGTGTTTTTAATACTTATAGTTCATAATCTACTACAGCTCTGTTTATATACCTTACTGTCATAGATACACAGTGGTTTAACAGAGTAAGCTTCTATATTGGTCCTTTTTCTGTCTATTATTTATAGGCATGCTAGTTAAAATTCAGTGACCGTCAAACAATCTTAAAAGAGATGGCAGGATCAGCTCTACAGTGAATTATTCAGATGAATACGATCATATTTGCTGATGGGACTAGTAGGATTTTCATGTCAAAACAACACTCATTAAACTGAGTGCTCCAGTGAAACCCGTGGATATTTGTTTTAATCTGTTTGTGATCCTTTTGCTTGCATTGACAGACCAAAGGTTTGGCTTGTATAAGCATCAGAGGTAACAGATGTCACTCTTCTGTTTCTAGAGTATGTTCACTGTGTAATTTATCCTTGGTAATAATTTATGGCACTACATGTGAATAACATAATGTATGTGTGTATATATATATATATATATATATATATATATATATACTGTATATTATATACAAAACTTTAAACATTATGTCTAGCAACATGACATGGCAGCCATTGTCTCCTGCTGCTGTCAATCAAAGCCAGTGACAAGGCAGTGGGGAGCGGGGCCAATAGACAGAGACCACAAGGTTAGGGAGCAAGACCGTACGAGTGCCCCCATAGAAAACGACTTTCTATGGAGGGAACACGGCGGAGAGGAGGAGCCAGGAGCACCAGCAGGGGACCACCTGATAGGAACAGG